GTGAGATTGGGAAAAATAAATTCGACGGCGTCACAGCCCTTGGCAAATAATAAATGTAATATTAATACCAGAACCTGATTACTACACAATTTTCCTTATCTGCGTATGAAATTTTTGCCCCAGATGCGCTTTCATTGCACAGAAAATAAACTATACTATTTTACTTTTGATGTAAATCGCCATATTTCACTTGAATATACGCTAAACAGTCAGTCTAACAAAAAAATCCCTAGATCTAGGGAAAATCCGCAAATTGGCAACGTGGTGTGGTTGTGCTTGGGCATATGCTTCTAGGCAATAAATTTTCGAACCTTGATCATGATTCGAGTCCACAACGTCATTGAAAAGGCAGAGTTGTAGTATACTTTGAATTTTTAATGTAATTCCTGTTATTTTTTTTAGTTTTTAGGCAAACTGACCATTTATTGAATATACACCGTGTTCATCTAGTGCGCGTAAGTCCAATATCTAGGTTAATAAAAGATATAACTTAATTTTTCTACAGAGTTGCCTACTTTCTCGAGCTGCACAAAATGAAAATATATTTGCATATACAGGGTGTTCAGTTTTTCCTGGGCTCATGAGATTTTGAAACTACTCTACCCCATATGTTCATTTATGTCCAGTATGCAACAATTGTAAATGGCGGTCGAGATGTCCAATTCAAAAACTATGAGAAAAAAACTGCTTCACGAGCTACATGCCCCCGACCAGCATAGGGCATCTGAACCGTGACATCACATACTCCAAGGTCATTACTTGGGGGATAAAGGGCATTAAATCCTTATTTTTATTCTAAAGAAATTAGATCTCTATTAAAATGCCTTATTTTGCTGTGGTTGTAAGCTTTTCCAGAATTTATTCGTTTAGCATGTAAGAGACTTAGCTTGTTGGCTTAGATATTTGCGGTGACAACGACAATTTTCCTNCTACACAATTTTCCTTATCTGCGTATGAAATTTTTGCCCCAGATGCGCTTTCATTGCACAGAAAATAAACTATACTATTTTACTTTTGATGTAAATCGCCATATTTCACTTGAATATACGCTAAACAGTCAGTCTAACAAAAAAATCCCTAGATCTAGGGAAAATCCGCAAATTGGCAACGTGGTGTGGTTATGCTCGGGCATGTGCTTCTAGGCAATAAATTTTCGAACCTTGATCATGATTCGAGTCCACAACGTCATTGAAAAGGCAGAGTTGTAGTATACTTTGAATTTTTAATGTAATTCCTGTTAATTTTTTTAGTTTTTAGGCAAACTGCCCATTTATTGAATATACACCGTGTTCATCTAGTGCGCGTAAGTCCAATATCTAGATTAATAAAAGATATAACTTAATTTTTCTATAAAGTTGCCTACTTTCTCGAGATGCACAAAATGAAAATATATTTGCATATACAGGGTGTTCAGTTTTTCCTGGGCAGGTACCAACTTCATTTTTTTAAATGGAAACCTATATTTTTATGGCATTATCGAATTCTACGTGAAAATTAACGGGACTTTGTGTTATGATCCCTATTAAAATATTGATAGTTTTCGAGATAATCGACTTTTCATTTTTTTTTTTTATGTTGCGTCACTTCTAGTAGTTGACATAATTATGATTGTACGACAGCTAGAATCTATATATATTTTTTTTCAGGAACTGTAGAGTGAAGATGACTTTCAAAAAACGTATCAAAAGTTGACCTGCGATATACAGGAGGCAAAAAAAATCGTGCCAAACCTGATAATATAAAATTTGAATAATTGCGACTTTTGCAAATAGAACACCCTGTGTTTTATGATTTCATTAGATGCCTTTCTGTAGACCCTACAATTTTTTAATAGCTTTCCCTATACCTAAGTTGCGTAGTTTTTGCAAAAAAACCATTTTTATGTAAAATACCGGATTTGCGCCCGTTCCTTTGGCTGTAATGTGATTATTTTATTGTTATTATACTTTTCCTATTACCTATTTATCTTTCAGGTTAGAGAACACCTAAATCACGTATATCCAAACCAGTGGTTAGGTCGTGGTGGTCCAGTTCCTTGGCCCGCACGTTCGCCTGACTTAAATAGTCTGGACTTTTTCTTGTGGGGTTATATCAAGGAGCGAGTATACGAAGTACCACCAACGGATATTCAAGACTTAAAAGAAAAGATTCAAAACGAGTTTCTAACTATAACGC